AGACTTCCTTGAGTTGGATACACTTTAAAAACTCAAGAGAAAGGCATGGTATGAATATCTGTGGAGTATGGCCTCAAATAGAACCTAAGTTTTCATGATATTAAAAAAAAAACTCACCTGTCAGGGTTTTGGAAACCCCCCCAAAGAAAATCATCACTTATTTCCAGAAAGCTGACAAATACTTATAAAAGTATACAGCTTATTAAATTCCATAAAACCAAACCTTTTGATACGCTACTAAAAAGCGTGCCAAATACTTCTAATGGAGATTTGCCTCATGTGTACATTGCGTAGAAGGAAGGGACAGAAAACACTTTGGAAGACAGAGCAGAAAACACACTGCCGAGAGCTCTTTCACAATAATGTGTGAAACTTTTGCCTAAAAGTTTTAATGCATTAAATTTACATCCTGAGATTTTAATCTATTCATCTTTGTATTAATGAGTGCCCACACACTCAAAAATCTAACCTATATCTATGGCTACGTTCTTCTTTTTGTATGAAATATAACCTTAGACTATACACCACAAATGTCATCATCATCACCATCACGAATTTTTGTACTATGCAAAGCTGGTGGGTGTGGTGCTGGAATTTCTGAAAATGTGGTGTTATAATACTTTATTGCAATTTTTCTATTAAGCTCACCTAAGCCAGAGATAACCCAAGTGGATTCTATACAAAATCAAACACATCTCCCGTTAGCCTGTAACAAGAACACACATACCTTTTGTTTTGTATTTTCTGTATAAGTAGAGACACTTTCACTACCATGTTGTTCCATCTCTAAATCTTTAACACTTTGGACTTTCTCTTCTTTGGCTTCTACATCTTATTAACCGGGAGGTCCTGGGAAATCTCCCATGGTAGTGAGAACTAATACTTGCTTTGTTTTTAAAGTGGTGTTCAAATATCACCACCAGAGCCTGGTTGGTCGTTCTACTTCATATTTCCACTAAACTTTGGGGCTTCCCAGCTTTATCACTAAACCTGCTGCATCTTATTATCATGATTGGCAGCAATATCCTCCCAGGTGGTTCTCAAATTTTGTGGTTCTCAAATTTTGCAACAGATTAGAATCATCAATACTTAATTAGAAACTAACTGTATTAGAATCTCTGGGGTGGTAAGACCAAGTTAAGTTGTTTTTAAAAGTAGCATTTCTCAAATTTTAATGTGGAAATAGTTCACCTGGGAATCTGCTTAAAATGCAGACTTGGAGTCAGTAAGATTCGGGGAGGAATGAGATTCACATTTCTAGCAAGCTCTCATGGATGCTAATGATGCTAAGACAACTCAAATTGTCCCTGAATGGTCACACATTTTAGTAAACTCATAAAGCCAACACAGGACTACTTCTTCTGCCTTTTGACTCCTACCTGCCACTCCCATGTTAGGCATAGAATTGCTGACACTTTCTCATAAATTGGAACTTTAATAATATTTCTAGCCTTTACCACTGTTAGTATCAACGAGCGCTTTCCTCCCAGCCCTCCCTTGTTCCTGTTCCTGCATTAATCTCACTGGTGATAGAAAGAACACAGTGGAAGCCAAGGAAGATTAAGAGGGGAAGAGGAGGAAGATGTCACTGTCATTGCTTGAACTGAAGTTTCAGAGTGTGGGCTTACCTACTCATTTTATTAATGCTAAGACCCCAAGACTCCCTCTTTGGGTCTTGCGACCTCCTGTACCCCCTCTTTATTTTTTCCCTCTACACTTGAAAGCCCTTTACTCCTACTCCCATTTTATCCCATTTTTCATCATAGTCCCTGCCTGCCATCATTATGATCCCAAGATAATTTGAAAAAAATCAACAGAAATGCGTACAGTGAAAAATACTTTTCTTTAGCTTTAAGTGTTATTCGTCCAGCAGCATTACTGTTCCTCAGTTAACGCTTCTATCCTGCCACACACAGATCAGACCGATCTTTTCAGTTTTAGGCAACCATGTTAGGTTCTGAATAATTTGGTAGGGTTATTAACACAATAAAATGTTCTTCTAGTCTTTGTACATTTAAATATGCTGCTAACTAACGTCTCATGGTTTCCAGAGTATGCATGGAGGCAGTCCAGGGTGCAGCAAGAAACTCACCAAGAAATACTGTATTCTAAACTTTCATGGGAAATACAGCAATATGGGACCTTCCTCAGCCCACAGGCGAATCTCTAGCTCAAAGTGACTCCCAGTTTCTACAGTAGGTGGCGCTACATTCCTTTTGATGATGTCATAGTTACAAAGTCGTTTCCCACAGTGATTGTGATAAAAAGCAACTAACTACAATGCAAAAATCAGTTTGGAAGACTAAACAAAGAGGGTAGAATCTGGTCCACTTGAGAAGCCGTGCAGTGTTCACTGGATACACAAGTTCCAACTGTAAATAATTGTGGGTAAGAGCGATATAAAATTTGTGTATTACTTCTTTCAAATGATTATAGTCCTACATTGCAAAAGACTATGAAAGAGAGCTCTGGGAACTGAGAAAGTTTCAGAATTCACTCCAGTTTAAACTTTTATTTTTCCCCCCAAAGGTTTCCGGATATGGTAGATCTGGATAATCATATCAGTGTCTGTTTTTTCCAAGTTGGTTAAAGGTAGATCAACTTAGTAGCACAAAAAAGGACAACTAATTCCTTTTTTTTCTTTTGCTACAATCTACTTTTTAATATTTTTGTTTTTAGATACAGTAAAAAACTGTCTTCAAAGATAGTTGGGAAAACGCTACCTTGACAATTCATGAATGCCTCTTACACCTAATTCACATAGCTGGGCTGGCAGCCATGATAACTTTAGTTATGGCCCTTCAAGCTTTTTTCTCCAGCTAACTTGTCTCCGGGGTTATAACTTCAGAGAGGGGAGGGAAATGCAGTGGGAGAGGAAAGATGATGACGAGGCAGGGACATTTATCAGCTGCCAATAATTTTTCCAAATTCAATGAGTCTGATCAGCGTTCTAGTGAAAGAGCTTGGCCATGATTCTCTACATTATCTGACCACCGAGGTGTATTAATGACCCCATTTCATTCCTACAGTGATACAGGTCAATTTTCTTCTTCAATGCATTACACATGGATTTGACAGAATGCCTACAGTGAGCTTTCACCCATCACAGTAACATCTTTATGCACCTAGGAGGTGTCAACCACCAGTGATTGTTTCACTGAAACCACCCTGCCACTCCATCAGGTAGGCATCGCTGCGTATATTTTCTGGATTCAGAAACAAAAGGCTGGGAAGGTTCATAACCCGTCCAGAGGCATGCAACTGGCAACTGGCAACTCTCAACTGACAAGGCATTGCCCTGCTCGGGTCCCCAGCTTGCAACTTCTCTGAGTGGCAGTTTTTACCTCTCACAATTATAATTATGAAACTGATGTTTGTGCTGTTTTATTTTGTGATGCTTCCAGTGTTCTCAAATTTATTGGACATTCCTTCAGAATCTGTAGTATTATTGATGTTGAAATGGCATCACAGTTTGAGAAGACAGGCAGAAAAGCGGGGGGGGGGGGACAAAACAGAAGTTGGGGATCAATCACTGAGAGAAAGCCCTTTTCAAAAACTTAATCTTATATAGCAATAATGCTATTTGGGTTACAGAAAGTGCTTTAAAGATTTTAAGATTTTTAGAAATAATTGTCACCCTGTTAACACAGTGTTATTCAAGTTTCACAAAGGAAATGAAGTACAAGCAAGTGTATCGTCTCTCCTTGGTAGTCACACGGTGTGAGTTTCACAGCAAATGCATGACTGGATCCTTGGGGGATCCGTGCTGCTGTTCCCTCTTCACTGAAGACATTCTCTCCTACTTTATTCCACATTAATAATTCACTGCCCTGGAACACCGCTTGGCTACCTCCACCGAAGCCATGGTTGGCGTTCTTTCATTTACAGTGGTAAATACTTAAAGAGAATATTTGCACACAGTTATTCAGGGATATTTGATCAAAGATTGAAGTGTGAACATCAGCCCTTTGGAATCTGCAAAATTCATATTATTTGCAGGAGACCCTAATACAGGTGCTTTGAAAATCTGAGCTGTGATAATAAAGGAAGACCCTTTATCATCTATATTTTGCGTCCCTTCCCGGTTTAAAGGATGTGTGGCAGTGTTTCCATGCCAGGGCCACCTTATGAGATGCAGAATCTGCTCAGACTTTTCTTTCACACTTTTGCAGTATGCAGATACTCTGCAACAAGAAGGTAGCTGATGATGCAATCTTGGTGACACAGTGACAGTTGGACAGAGCTGCCTCTCTGACTCAGCTCCAGGAATCTGTAAAGGCTATTATAAGCCATTCCTCCTCACTTTACTTTCTAGAGTCAATAAAATGCTCAGACGCTATTTAGAAATAGCACCTTTATATAACCATTTTTATTTTTTCAAATTTATTGTAATTAAACCATAATAGTTTAAAACACTTAGTTCTGTACAATTCCCCAGAGATGAGATATTGCTGCACCAGCAAGTACCAAATCTCACCCGCAGGGTTCAGTTTTGCCAACAAAGAGCTTTGGCCAGAGACCAGAGGGCCACATAGGGAACAGAGTTAAGAAACAGTTAATTTGAATTTAGCCAAAGAACTCAAGCTCAGAATGTTTGCTTTCAAAATGAGAAAAAAGGCATTGTCCTTTCTATACAGCATGATCGCTCTATTCCTATTTTTAATGCACCCAATTTTATAGAATAGCTGGACCCCAGTTTTTCAAGCTAAAGTAAAAATTAAAGGATTTATGGTAACCCTATGTGGATGCATGTGGGTGTTTCATTTTCCACCGGGGCATTTCCCGTTTCTTTGTTGCACTGCTAACCTTTCTCAGCTTCTTGCTACAATCTTCCTCCCTTGAAACTACTCCAGTGAAAAGAAAAGAAACAAAAAGTCGTACCAGATAAGCAACAATTCTTACTGTGTTGGGGGAATAGTTCACATCATTGCTGTGCACTTACTACAAGTAACTTCTGTAGCTTTTAAACCCCACATGTCAGAGTACCCGAGGAATCCTACCTTGCCCACATACTGATAATCCGAGCCGGTGTATTCCTCCAGGAGAAAGAACTGGTTCCACATCCAACTCCTTTTTGAACGGTTCAGCTCATGCTTGCTGTTTCCTGAGAGCTCCGGGGCCCTTTTCTTTGCCGGGAAACCACTAGTCCTCTTGGATAGCGGAGTGGAGAGAGTTGGGAACGGCTGACCAACCCAAAAGAGCAGCAGTAAGTACCGGGAGGTCCTCATGCTGACGGCCGCAGTCTGGCCAGCGAGTCCCCCTCCGAGTGCCTCCGCTCAGGGCGCCGCTTCCAGCTTCATTCCTTCCTTAATGTTCTTTGCTTGGCTCTCAGAGGATATCTGGAAAGAATAATAACATATCAAGCATTTTTAGAGATGCTTAAAATTCAGTGTTAAAGCAAATAGGCTGGAAAAAGAGGACAGAAATTTGAATAGCAAAACAACAAAAAAAGTTGGCTATCAATTCTGAATGAGGAAAACGTTCTTTTAGATATGCTAACTGGAAGACATGTGCCGAGTAGGAAGCCGCTGTTTTCCTTTTCTCCTCTTCTATCACTTAAAAAAAAAAATCCTATTTTAAGTAATAGTATTGCTGTAGGTCAACATGCCAGAAAGGATTATTTCACTACTCTTTTACCTCGAAATATGTGGGCTGAGATCTGGTTAGAAGAAACGAGTTTGTGTTTCTGATTCTATTTGCATACTTATCCTCATGAACAAGTCTAAGGCAAAGGATATCACAGGCAATTTAAATTCAATTGAAAGTGGATAATGTTGAAATTTCGCCGGAGTGGAGTGAGCACCAGTGATGTGTCAGGCACGAGTCAAAGCCAAGCTTATTCTGCAGATGCTTGGCTGCAGAGACACGCTGGGATGGAACACGCCAGGTCAAATAAGGTTGGAAAACACTATACGCCTCTCTTTGGAACGCAGATTAGCACACTGAAGTTTTTGAAGTGATACTTTGCAGTGATAGAAATAAACGTTTCCAGCACTCTCCAAAGTTGACCTGGAAACTCGTCATATGAGATCCCCTGACACTGTAGCGTGGGTCAAGGACACTCATAGAATTGACATTTAAGTCTATACGTATTAAATGAGCGATTCTATTCAAATTTCTTTTTTCTTTTTGTATTCAAATTTCTTTACACAACCCTTGGAATTTAATATGCAAATTTCACTTGAATCACGAGCACTCAAGTACCTATGTTAAAATTGTCAAACTCTATGTAATTTTCACAGATGCATGGAACGTATCATCTCAGTATCATGGTGAGGACCACTGACTGCAAATCTCCAGAAAAGTCAGCTATTATACAGGCGGGTAATAATTTTCCACAGCAAATATTAATTTTCAAGAACACAACCTACCATTTAAAATATCCTGGAGTCAGACAGCTTGGCTTAGATGTCCCAACTTGGTTAGCTAGCTTATGCAATTAAAGTTATATATGCCTACGTTTCCATACTTCTTAAAAAAAAAAAACAAAACTCCGGAAAATGACTCCTTTATTTTAGCACTCGAAATAGGAAAATATTTTCTTTGAATAAAATCAGCAACAATAATTACAAAGAACTGTTTTATAATGTGGAACGCAACAGTAATTAAACTATTATATTTACTCTAAATCATACAGATTAATGTGTTCTAGGTAATCTGATTAGTAAATTTTTTATGTCACAAAAAGTTGGTTCACTTGATTCCTATTATCCTAGTGCATAAATGCATATGTGACCAAGCTTTCTGTTTTTACACCAGCAATGAGTAACTAGAGCTATCTAACAGGCTTAGTGAAAGCTTTTCATTGGAAGATAAGTGAAAGATTTCACAGTATTCAGCATTTTAAAACCTTTATTCCATTATTATGCATCTTCTTGACAGCAGACTGGGGAGGCTGAAAATTCCACAGGTGAGTAAATTAGCACTGTGACAATTAGTCATGCTGGAAAAATGCCAGGCAACAGTTACTTGTCATTATGCGGCCTTGGTACAGGTGTGGAATGACTGATGATCAATTAGGTAACCATGATTCTTCTTTCTCCTCCTGGATGGTGCATAGAGGGGACTGGGAGGGCAGATGGAAAAAGGCCCTCAAAAGATATTTATTCATTTTGAGAAGTAGAGATTACACTGAGGTTGATTCCGTGGAAATTACATTTTTCTTAATTTCCCACATTCTCCATTATTTGCAAAGACAAATCCTGCAGTGAAGAATTATATGTCTGCTGCTGCACTCCGTGTGTGCACCATGGTGCTGGCAAGACAGAGGGATGCAGAGAATGGAGGTGTCAGCTGCTTAAAAGGCTGACTCCTAAAGGCTGCTTGAAAGAAAAATCGATCCCTGTGGGTGTTGTATGCAAACTCTACAAGCTGTTGCCACTTGAATATTAAATATTAGTTCTTTTTAATATCACAGATACCAAAATGTCAAGTATTTCATTTTTTTCCCTTGGTAATGAGCTTTTAAAGCGATGCAAATATAAGCAGTGTTTCCAAGTATGCTATAATACCTAGTTTTGCTAAAATCCCATTCTTGTATCAGTTTGACAAGGTGAGACTTTGAATGAAGGCCTTTACATATTTTATTCAGTATGTAAAACTGAATGACTCTGATCCATTCATATTTGATGTTAGCTGTTCATACAGATGTACTTCTCTGTGCAGTTCTACAGTTTAAAAATACTGCTCGTTGGGAATATGCCATCTTCTTAGTTACTTGAAAGACTGGGGCAGGAGGAGTGACAATTTGAAGCCAGCCTGGCCAATCCAGTGAGGGCCTTTCTAAAAATAAAATAATAAATACAGAGGGTGGTGATGTAGCTCAGCGCTTCCTCGGCTCAATATCTAGAGGCATAAAAGAAACAAATACAATTTCTGAAAACTTAAACATGTATGTAATTGAGCAGTGCTCCTTAAATGCCTCTCAGTTGTCAGGGCTGGCACCAGATTGCCTGGTTTAAATCTAAGCTCTGAAACTAGTCTCTAGGAATTGGGAAAACTGCCCAATTTCACTCTACCTCAGTTTCTTTTTCTGTAAATTCAGATAATTATAGTACCTATCTCCTTAGGGTGTTGTGAGAATTAAAGTATTATATTCAAAACACTTAGAACCGTGCTCAGAGCTTAGAAAAGCATTAGAATTAGTAATTATTTTATGACTCTTGTTATTGTTAGTACTATTTGTATTGCACATATAAAATCCATCTACAACATATCATAAAGTTTGAAGAAGATAAATGAGTTCTTTTTTCAGGCCAAACTACATTTTTTAAAAAATTTTTCAGAAAGCACCTCTAAGCAAGCCAAAAATCTTTTAAAATTAAAAAATAGAAGCACTTTAAAGCTATCGTGAGTTCATTTGCTAATTGTTTTCCTTTGTGTGGACATCAGCTCTGTATTTAATAGTAACGGTTCAGAAAAAGAGAAATAGAAATGTTCCGTCAGCTGCATGACGGAGAGGAGCACAGGTAAAAAGGCACACTTGCTAGAGGACGGCCCACTGACAGAATCTGTGTACCTTTCCTTTTATTATGGTGTGCAGTTTTAAAAAAATCATCTTTACCCCAGAAAAAATCAGAACTTGGTTCTGTTTTGTAATTTTGCCTTGGTATAAATGGTACTGATAAGTAACATGCTGATATGATTCTGTTACATCAGCGCAGAATTTGATGGAATTAAGTGAACGTTACACCTACCTTAGATTTTACTTCATCTAAAAATGGGATATAGAAAAGATCAACATACAGCAGAAATGGGCTTTAATGCAAAACAGAAACAGAACAGAAGTGATCATGATTCAAGCAAAGGGAAGTGCCTAATAAAAGCACAGCTTTGAGGAATGTGGGGCGCGCTGTCCATTTTTTTGAGCAGTCAGCATACAAGGGAAGCAATGGTAGCAGCAAGCACACGTGGTGGATGATTTTGTAGACGTCAGGAAGGAAGCTGGAAGGACCAAGAAGTGAGAGCGTACGTAGATCCTGAAATTAAACCTGCAGGCACAGCAAATGAACCAGAAGATCAGATCATGGGTGGGGGTGTGAGGGAGCAAAACACAGCAGATATCGTAGCATTTTGCCCTCCTCTTTCATTTCCTCTTGGCATTAAAGAGCAAATCAATTAGAAACATAAACAACTCCATAAAAATTCAAATTGAACTACCTAATTACATTTTAATGATCGTTTAGCAAGATGTGTCTCTACTTTTGATTTTCCTGTTTTGAGATGTAGGTTTTTTAGGGAGAATTTTCTGTTTCTTAAAAACAATCATTTGTATGCCCTGAAATTTGATGTACAAAAGTGGTTGACCCAGAAAAACAGTCTGAACTTCTACAACAGTCTCATCTTAGTGACATGTGGAAGGCACCTAAGGTGTTTATAGAGAGTGGAGGAAGGCCCTTGTTTATTGATAATTGCATACTTTGAAACTTTATTTGGCCCACAGACAATATGTACATGTATTTCAATCTTCACAGGAGTATTTAGGCAAATCCAAATTTTATTCAATGAATGCCATTAATGAGGAGCCTGGGCCTCATTAATTCAGGTCCTACTAATTTAGAATGTATGCTAATTAATGCAGAAGCTGAGTTGATGTTTTCCTTTGATTAGCAAAATCTTTTCCCCTAGATTATTGGAAATTAATTGCATAAAACTATTTCATTGACTATGTAGAATGAAAAGACAAACTACAATGTTTTCAAGTTCTCTAGAGTACTTTGGAATCACCTTTCATTCACAAATAATTAATATGCTAATTAAAAATTTCTCCATTGATTGAATTGCTTCTCCAGTGACTTATTTGATAAAAGTTTGACTGTTTAACTATATTATCTAGTTTTGAGATACTGATTCCATCGCACTATTTACAAACAATATTAGACAAATGTGAAAGCAATAATTACATTAAAGCTTTAGAATTTAGCATACCCTTGTTCTAGCATTCTTGATTAATTCTAATCAAGGTAATATTACCTCAGTGTCATCTAGGTTACAAAATTAAACTAGGCACATTCACTCTTTAGGATGCAGACTCCAAACTTTACCACTAAAAGCACACTAAACATTCAATGATATTATTAATACACTCTTTTTTTTTTTTTTTTTTTTTTTTTGTCTTTTTCCTTTTAATCGGTACTGGGGATTGAACTCACAACTGCCTGCTTGCAAGACAGGCACTTATGCCGCTGAGCTAAATCCCCAGCCCCATATTAATACACTCTTGCCATACTATAAGAATGTAAAAGAATTTAACCATACTTCAAGCATAGTAAAAGAACACTTTAAAATCTATTATGAAATGGTTTCTTCAATGGATAGTGTTCCATATACATACTGAAGC